GCACCCATTTTGATACATAATTGAAATAATATAATATAATATTATATGGTTATATGCACAATTTTTGTTGCAGACACACGTACATACATACATACATACACACATACACACACACATACATACACACATAGATTCATACATACATACATACACACATACATACACACATACATACATACACACACACACACACGTGCGCTACTCTGTTGTTGTTCTGTTTTTGAAATGTGGCAGCACCCATTTTTCGGGAAGCGCCTTTCGGTGTAACACACGTTACTGTTTCTTCAAGAAGTAGTAGCAATTGTGCTGTTTCTTTCCGAAGCGCAACAGCACTGCTTTCTTTGGGAAGCGCCTTTCGGTATAATACATGTGATTGTTTTTTCGAGACGTGGTAGTAGCAGCTGTGTTGTTTGTCGACATGTGGCAGCACCCATGTTTTGGGAAGCGCCTTTCGGTTTAACTCATGTCAGTGTTTTTTGAAGACGTGGTAGTAGCAAGTGTTTTTTCGACATGTGGCAGCACCCATCTTTTGGGAAGCGCCTTTCGGCCCAAAATACGTGATTTCTTTTTCCAGACGTGGCAGCACCCGTTTTTGGGAAGCGCCTTTCGGTTTAACACACGTTTTTTTTCAACATGTGGTTGTAGTAATTGTGTTTTGTTTTTTTTCGACATGTGGCAGCGCCCCCGCTGTTTTGCACAAGCCCCGGTGCCTGATCAAAGGTGTTGTTGCATGCTGGGGATGCGGGGGCTGCCTTTTTGGTCTTCCATCGTCGTAGAAAAAGGCAGCTTTTGCATCCCCAGCTTCACCAAGGTGTCCGGGTGATGCTTTGCGTGCTGGGGATGCAGGAGCTGCCTTTTTGGTCTTCGAATGTCGGAAAAAAAGGCAGCTTTTGCATCCCCCGCTTCACCAGCATCATCCTGCAGGTGCCCGGGGTGATGCTTTGCATGCTGGGGATGCAGGAGCTGCCTTTTTGGTCTTCGAATGTCGGGAAAAAAGGCAGCTTTTGCATCCCCCGCTTCACCTGCATCATCCTGCAGGTGTCTGGGGTGATGCCTTGCGTGCTGGGGATGCGGGAGCTGCCTTTTTGGTCTGGGACGGGGGCCGGATTTTCTCAGCCTCAGTATCATCATCATCCTCAGCCTCATCATCCAGCATCACCACCATCGTCATCCTCATTCTCATCAGAATGCAGCAGCATCATCATCATCATCCTCATCATCCTGCTGATCATCATCATCATCATCATCGTCACCATCATCATCATCATCGGCTCATCATCATCATCTTCATCATCCTGAGCAGCATCATCAGTTCCCGTAGTTTTCCGTCATCTTCGTAGTCTTCCGTCATCTCCCAGCTTCCTGTAGTCCCGCAGTCCTCCGTCATCTTCCGTCATCTTCCCGTAGGCTTCCGTCATCTTGGTGTAGTCTTCCGTCATCTTCCCGTAGTCTTCCGTCATCTTCCCGCAGGCTTCCGTCATCTTCCCGTCAGCTTCCCGCAGTGTACTCTTCCGTCATCTTCCCGTAGTCTTCCGTCAGCTTCCGTCATCTTCCCGTAGTCTTCCGTCATCTTCGTGTAGTCTTCCGCCATCTGACTGTCATGACAACTATCATCGTAGCATCCTCTGCATTACCAATGCAGCAGAGATCATGCTGATCATACGGGTTACGATGATAAGGATGACGACTATCACGATAAGTATCATCACAGCATCCTCTGCATTACCAATGGTGCCTAACGCCACATTTGCAATGTGTAGAAGAAACAGATGATGATGACAATCACAATCACGATGACGTCGTAGCGTCCTCTGCATTACCAAAGCCGCCGATGACTGCTCTGCATTACCAATGCTGCAGAAGCAGAGATCATACTGATCAAACGGAGAACGATGATAAGGATGACGACTGTCACGATAAGCATCATCACAGCATCCTCTGCATTACCAATGGTGCCTAACGGCAGCTTTGGTAATGCAGAGGATGCTGCGATGATAGTTGTCATGACGCCAGAGGATGCTACGACAATAGTCGTCCTGGGCGTTATCATCCTTATCATCTTCATGATGATTGTCATCACAGTCATCGCCTTCATCATCGTCATCGTGATTGTCATCAGCTCTTTCTTCTATACATTTCTAATGTGGCGTTAGGCACCATTGGTAATGCAGAGGATGCTGTGATGATACTTATCATGGCAGTCGTCATCCTTATCATCGTTATCCGTATGATCAGCATGATCTCTGCTTCTGCAGCATTGGTCATGCAGAGGATGCCACGATGATAGTTATCATGACAGTCATTGACTGTCATGATAACTATCATCGTAGCATCCTCTGCATTACCAATGCTGCAGAAGCAGAGATCATGCTGATCATACGGATAACGATGATACTGTCATGATAAGTATCATCACAGCATCCTCTGCATTCCCAATGGTGCCTAGCGCGCCACATGTGAAATGTATAGAAGAAGGAGCTGATGACAATCACGATGACGATGATGAAGGCGATGACTGTGATGACAACCATCATGAAGATGATAAGGATGATAACTCCCAGGACAACTATCGTCGTAGCATCCTCTGCCGTCATGACAACTATCCCCTGCATTACCAATGCTGCAGAAGCAGAGATCATGATGATCATACGGATAACGATGATAAGGATGACGACTGTCACAATAAGTATCATCACAGCTTCCTCTGCATTACCAATGGTGCCTAGCGCCACATTTGAAATGTATGGAAGAAACAGATGATGATAACAATCACGATGACGATGACGTCGTAGCGTCCTCTGCATTACCAAAGCCGCCGATGACTGTAACTATCATCGTAGCATCCTCTGCATGACCAATGCTGCAGAAGCAGAGATCATGCTGATCATACGGATAACGATGATAAGGATGACGACTGCCATGATAAGTATCATCACAGCATCCTCTGCATTACCAATGGTGCCTAACGCCACATTAGAAATGTATAGAAGAAAGAGCTGATGACAATCACGATGACGATGATGAAGGCGATGGCTGTGATGACAATCATCATGAAGATGATAAGGATGATAACTCTCATGACAACCATCATTGTAGCATCCTCTGCCGTCATGACAACTATCATCGTAGCATCCTCTGCATTACCAAAGCCGCCGATGACTGTCATGATAACTATCCTCGTAGCATCCTCTGCATTGCCAATGCTGCAGAAGCAGAGATCATGCTGTTCGTACGGATAACCGTGATAAGGGTGACGACTGTCACGATAAGTATCATCACAGCATCCTCTGCATTACCAATGGTGCCTAACGCCACATTTGACGTGTGTAGAAGAAACAGATGATGATGAAAATCACAATCACGATGACGATGATGAAGGCGATGACTGATGAGAATCATCATGAACATGATAAGGATGAGAACTCTTATGGCAACTATCATCGTAGCATCCTCTGCATTACCAAAGCTGCCAATGACTGTCACGATAAGTATCATCGTAGCATCCTCTGCGTTAGCAAAGCTGTCATGATTATCATCGCAGCATCCTCTGCATTACCAATGATGTTCATACGGACAATGATGATAAGGATGACGACTGTCATGATAAGTATCATCACAGCATCCTCTGCATTCCCAATGGTGCCTAGCGCCACATGTGAAATGTATAGAAGAAGGAGCTGATGAGTCAATCACGATGACGATGATGACGGCGATGACTGTGATGACAATCATCATGAAGATGATAAGGATGATGACTCTCATGGCAATATCATCGTAGCATCTGCATTACCAAAGCTGCCAATGCTTGTCAGGATAAGTATCATCGTAGCATCCTTTGCATTACCAACGCTGCAGAATCAGATATCATGATGATCGTACGGACAATGATGATAAGGATGACGACTGTCATGATAAGCATCATCACAGCATCCTCTGCATTACCAAAGCTGCCAAGGACTGTAGCATCCTCCGCATTACCAAAGAGCTGCCGATGACTGTCATGATAACTATCATTGTAGCATCGTCTGCATTGCTAATGCTGCAGAACCAGAGATCTTGATGATCAAACGGATAATGATGAGAAGGCTGACGACTGTCATGATAAGTATCATCACAGCATCCTCTGCACTACCAAAGCTGCCGATGACTGTCATGATAACTATCATTGTAGCATCGTCTGCATTGCTAATGCTGCAGAATCAGAGATCTTGATGATCAAACGGATACTGATGAGAAGGCTGACGACTGCCATGATAAGTATCATCACAGCATCTCTGCACTACCAAAGCTGCCGATGACTGTCATGATAACTATCATCGTAATATAGGATGGTGATCGGCAAAACGAAGCGTTCTCCAGCATGGGCATGTCGTTCTAGCCAGGTCCAACGGGATACTTCAAACGTATATACAAAAATTCTTAATCGATAGTCTGAGTAGAATAATGCCAAGCCGGGTTTAACGGGACACTCGAAATGTATATAGAAAGCATATAGAAAAGATGAAGGTGGAGGATAAGCATCACTACGCATCTCTAGCATCCCTAGCAGCAATGACGCTAACCAGCACTACACATCGCTTGCATGTCAAGCCGGGTCTAACGGGACACTTGAACAGTATGTAGAAATACAGAAAAGACTTCAGAAAACGAATCACGACGACGATTATGAACGTGGACGACTATATAGACGAGATATAGAAAAAACTTGAGGAAACAAGTCATGACGAGGATCCTGAGCATGGACTATCAGCATCACTACACAGCCTGAGCACCCGCAGCATTGCCTGCAACGATAGCATCTCTGGCAAGGACAGTGCCGATTCTTGCCATCGCCCTTCCCGTGCGCCTCCCTTTAGGCGAAGGGGTCGGCGGATAATTCTGGAACCTTTATATACACTAATATATACAATGATGTAAATCTATATATATATATATATTTCTTATGGCAGTTGAAAAGGAGCCAGAGCTTCACGGCGCCGGACGCCTTGGAGACCTGCGACATGTCCTACAACATGATCGCCGAGCTGGGGGACTGGAAGGTTCACCGCTTCCTCCGGGAGCTGAACCTTCGCCCGGGCCTTGCTTTGTTCGGAATTTCGAGTTCCTTTCGAGTTCCTTTCGAGTTCCTTTCGAATTCCTCTCAAGTCCTTCAGCTCGTTTGTGCCGTGTCCTTCCCGTTCCTGCATCTGAGGCGGCAACTTCATCAGCGGCATCGGCTTCGGGCTCACGGGCAGCAAGGAGCTCCGGCTGCTGGACCTCTCGGAGAACTTCATCCTGGAGCTGCAGAACTTGGACGACCTGGAGCTGCGGACCCTGAGCTTGGCACAGAACAAGCTCAGCTCCCTTGAAGGCGAGGTGGCCGGAGATGCGATGCGGACTGCGGACTCAAGCCCTTTCTCATGTCTTCCACAGGTGCTCCACATGTTTTCCACATGCTTTCCCTTGTAATTGCTCTTGCTGGTCGTTTGCTCTATCCCCTGGATCGGCAGAATGGTGCATTGACTTCAAGCATTGCATGTGCTATGACACTGCTGCATTGTAGACGTCAGGCAAAGGAAATCCAACCCTTGTGCACAAATCACCGGCCGTCAAGCATGTCGCTCTATCTTCGGATGCTGAGAACGGACAGGGTAAAGCTAGACATGGGTCTTGCTTTGGAGCGCCCTGCGCTTTGCAGTTGGTTCCAGGCACGTCGAGTGCATGCAAAGCAGTGAAAATCCTTCCGTGCCGGGGTCCGTATTGGGGCTTCAGAGTTTGGCACCGCTTGGTGCCTAAGGACGCTGGTGGGACGAGTCGTTTGTTCATTGAATTTTCTGCTTGAACAAGTTGTGAACGCTGGATGCACTGTAGCGTGTTCTTTCTCCAGCAGCCCAGCCGGTGCCAGGCACCGACATTTCAGGGTTGACATGGCTTCGTATGAAACTGTTTCCAGACTGGCAGACTGGGGGCAGGTGCGTCAACGGGGTTGCATAGGTTCAGAAGCTTCAAGGCATTGGGCGCGGCCTTGCGAGGCGTGCAGCGGCTCTCCAAGCTACATTCCCTGGACGTTCGCCACAATCACATCACCTCAGCTACTCTCCGTGCTGAGGATTGCCAAACGCCTCCACGCCACTTAGTGAGACTTGCTGCAAGAGGAAGTCAATGGTATGCGGAGAAACCTTTAGAAATCTGCATTGTTGACAGCTGGTTGAGGCGTACAAAGCTTCTGTGCTCCTGCACGGCTTGGCGACAGGACATCCCTCGGCTACGCAAGCTGCGCTTGTCCGAAAATCGGATTTCGCACATGAGGCACTGCGCGAAGCCACATTTGATTTGCATGATGCTGCTTGACCTGACTGTCTTCTTGGCAGGGAAGTAGACCAGCTGGCAAGCTTCCAATTCTTGAGTGAGCTTTACCTGGAGCCGAATCCAATGTTCGAGCCTTGAATGCTTCCACTTGACTTTGAATCTGCTGGCTGTCTACCCCATTCGAGGTCCCAATTGCCTGAGTACCGCGCCCAAGTGCTTCACAGACTGCCCCGCCTCCGGCAACTGGATGACCAGCAGGCCAATCGCAGAATGGAGTGGGCAAGGGCTTTGTCTCAGCTGTTTCCGTGTAGCTCCAGCTGAAGAGGTCACACCAGAAGAGCGTGTAAAGACGGATGTCATTTTTGGCTCTGGCGTCAGCATTTTGTTCGCTTGCAACGCTTGTCATGCATGCTTGCCTTGGTTTCTGCCCAAGGTGCAGATGTCGAGACACGTCGGGACATCTTTGAGCAGCTCTTGCCGGAAGAGACTTTTGTGGACAGACGGCTGATGACACAGGCCATGGGAGGTGACAGTGCCAGAGGCTGGCAGCAATGCCGGCAATGGCACGTAGGAGCTCATCGCTCAGCTGGAAGTGGAGCAGTTTGGCTGCATCGGCGATGCGGGGCCGTTTGGCGCGGACATGGCGGAGCCCACCTTTGGCAACCCGCCCAGGACGAATGCGATGTCCGCATGCGATGTCCGCATGCGATTCATGCGATGTCCGATCGCGCGGTCCGATCGCGCGGCGGATGTCGGGTGCTGTTTCAGGACCAAGCTGCAAAACGCGAAGTTTCGGCAGCGCATAGAGCTCACCCGCAGGGGCGGATGTCCCGAGGCTGGACTAGCGACTAAGTTTCCTCTCATTTCCGAAGGACTTTTCTTGTTGGAGCCAGGGAGTGGCCAACTTCTCCACCTTCCCAGCCTTGTTCCACTCGACTGCTGCATACGATGAAGATTTGCAAGAGATCATCGAGGCAAGCCAACGAGAGGAGAGAGAAAAGTGCAAGCGACGCAAATGCTGCATGCAGGCACTGGCAGAAGGTGGCTGCGAGGAACTGTGGTTGGGAGCAGCTGAGATCAGTCCTACAGGAGCTTTGACTTAGCTTATTGTCATGTTGCGTTTCTTGTGACTGAAGTTTGTGCAAGCTTGTCGCGTCCAGCCACCAGCCAATTTCGGCCAACTGTGTCAGGAATTCGTGAGATCATTGCCTTCCTCCAAGACTCCCCGTCTCGCCTTTGCTATGGCCAAAGTTGAGTTCTCTTGACACCTGCTCATTTCTTGCTTGAAACGGAAGGGCTTCTGAACTTTGTGCTTCAGGTCACATCAACTTGTCCGGCTGCAATTCAGCAGCACTTCTTGGGGCGCCTTGGCAGCTTGACACGCGAAACGTGAGAGCCGAAGCTGCGTGACTGAGGCAGAACTGCTCAAGTCCTTCCCTCTAGATCGAGGGTGCAGCATTGAGCTTGAAAACTGCGGCCTCGCAGATTCCACTGTGGCACGCCTGAGGACTGCACTGCACTGCACTGCACTCTTGTCAATCCTTGTGACATCTTGCGACCGATTCCGAGATTGTGTCGTGCAGGAACAAGAGTGAGGCCGCCAGCCGTGCCCTGACGGGAGCTGCAACCGAGCGACGCCGTTCTGCGCAGCGGGTGGCTGAGCAGCTGGAGATGCAGGCGGGAGCATCGGGATTCAGGCGCTGAGCGCTGAGCGCTGAGCGCTGAGCCAGACATGGCAACCAAATCTTTCTGGAAAGCTCACACTTCGAGACATTGCCAAAGATCTACACAAAACCTGTTCTCCACTTAGCCTTCCTCTTCACTCAAGATCATCAAAGGACAAGTTGTAAACCCCTAACCTCCCTCTTCACCCTTGGTCATAGACTTAGAATTTTAGAATGGCGAAGCCTATCCTCCACTTGGCCTTCCTCTTCATCCAAGATCATCAAAGGACAAGTTGTAAAAGTGTGAGCCTGTTCTCGCTCCTTTCTATTCAAGTTCTTAGGACAAGTTGCAGAAAGTTGCAAAAGATGTTCTCCCGCCAGCCTCCCTCTTGAACACCAAAGAAGGACAAGTTGGACAAAGTGGCAAAGCCTCCCTGCTGCTAAAGTTCACAGAAAGACAAGTCGCACAAAATTGTACCACCTGTCCTTCCCCCAGCCTCAGTCTTCATCCAAGTTTTACGCAGCGCGGCCTGTCCTCTTTCGTCCTTCTTCACTCAAATTTGTAGGCTGTGCATTCTTCCCTCTTGAGGCAAGTCACAGAAGCACAAGTTGAGCGAATTTGCGATGTTCTGATCCCAAATCACAGAAGCACAAGTTGTTCAGCATTGCAAAACCTGCCCTCCCTTTTGCAGGTCTTGTTGTGCAAAATGCAACATGGCAAACCTGTCCTCCATTTAGCGCCCCGCTTCACCTAAGTTTATGCAAGGAAGTTTCACAAAGTGGCAACACATTTTCCTCCTTCAGCCCTCTCTCCGAAATGCAAATCATAGAAGGACAAGTTGTAAACCATGCAGCACCTCTCTCCCTGTTGCCTCTTTCTTGGTCAAGCATCATGGAAGGACACGTTGTACGAATTTGCAGACACTTTCCTTCCTTTAGTCTCCCGTTTCATGCAAGATCATAGAAAAACAAGTTTTGACTTACGAAATCCGTCCTCCTGGTGGCCTTCCTGTTCATGAAGGTTCAAGGAATGCATGTTGTGCAAGTGGCAAAGCCTTTCCTCCCTTGAGCATCCATCTTCACCTAAGTTGATACAAGGACAAGTTTGAACGAATTTGCAAAACCTGTCCTCCCTTTAGCCTCCCTCATCAAAGGTCTGAGGAGGTCTAACCTCGCCGCGTTTTATAGGACAGGTGGAGAAACATTGCCAAGCCTGTCCTCTTTGTAGCCTCCCTCCATCCAACTTGGTAGCAAAACAAGTTCGACATCAGGGCTCTCCCCCTTTCGCATGCCTCTTCATCCAGGGCTACAAGGTTTTTGCCATCAAGTGGTTTTTACTTGTTGAAGGGTTGCTTTGCTGGCCCGGTCTCGCGTTGTTTGCGGTAAGGGCATTGTTGCGCCAGCTGTCTGTTTTACTCGAGCGCCTGTTGCAACAGTGCACGGTCTCCATTTTCGGTTCCTCTCCAATGTGTTGATGTTTGGTTTTTCTCGCAAAGCAAATCTAGCACTGTTCGCAAGATGCAGTTATTGCATATCATACAATTTCTGAGCACGTTTGCCACTACAGTTTGGACAGTGGTTTTGTACGAGTTGTTTTTTGTTCTGCGAATCTTTGTTCGCGAGATTGCTTGCGATGTTGTCCGCTGTTCTCGTTTGGTGTTGGCTTATTTATGGGTTTCCCCCAACCATTCCGCTGGTGTCGCGGTTCTACTGCCTGCTAAAGCCTATGCCACGCATGTGGCATGGCAAGGAGTACTTGGAGGATCGGGCGGCGCTGCTTTGTCCCAGGCGCTGAACGGGTTACCGGGTTCCTTTGAATTCGAGGCTGCCAGTTGCCAGGGAAGCGCCGCCACCAGCTCCTCCACGGGCGTGTCACCCACTCCAATGGCGTCCTGGAGCGGAACCACAGAAAGCCCTGGAAGGCAAGGGCTGCGTTTGGAGTTTGGGCATTACGAGTGCATCCGAGTATTCCGAGTGCATCCGAGTCAGGCTTCCTGAAAGCCAACCCGAACAAGTTGGTGGAGAACGGTGCTACGTGGAGCGCATAGGTATTTGCAGGTTACGTGGCAAGTCCAGCTGACCAGGTGGGCGATGAGCAACCGCAAGGGCGGCAAGGTCCAGCTGAGCAGCGATGACTTCTACAACCTTTGCCAGAAGCTGGATGACATATTGCCGCTTGGCGATGAAGATGTCAGCATGTGAGGGTTGATTCAATGTGTTCACGCTGTGAGCGGGCGCAGCGGCCCCTTCACTAGCTTTGCGGCTTAGGGTCGAGTGGGGTTGCGAGCCGGGCGAATTGCTTGGAGGCTGGGCCGGGGCAGGGTACGATGTCCGGCTCCCGAGCCTCACGCAGTGACGGGTCTCGTGGCTCTCGTGGCTCTCGTGGCTCGTGGCAGGGCGTCCTTTGCCTGCAGCCTTTGCGAGTGCCTTCGGCAACAACCCGCGCCGCAGCCCGAAGCTCCTTGGCGCGGTCCTCAGGGGGAAAGCCAGACAGATCCCGAGAACGCAAACGAAGACCGAGGCTTCATGCTGTGGGAGGGCATTGTGCCCAGCCCAGCGGTCAAGGACTTGTGCAGGGAGCAGCACGAATGGGAGGCAGGACAGGAGTGAAATGCTCTTCACTGGGTGCTTGAAACAAGCAGGATTGATGGATATTGATGGCATGTTTGCATCCTGCATTTGCACAGCTCGTTGCAAGGCAGCCTGGGCAGATGAGCAGCAGCGCATGAAGCAACTGTCAGCGAAGGCCTGCTGGTTGAAGCGGGCACTAGAACTTTCAGAAAGATAGGCCAGCCGAACATGTTCTGGGCGAAGGGTGGACGCAAGAACGGGGCAGTACTGCAGGGAAGCAAGTAGGCGCTTTCCCTGCATTGCTTGCCATGGGGTCGCAGAAGGCACGGAGATTGGAACGAGCTGTTCAAGTTGAAAGCAGAGCCCTGTGCCAGCGGCTGGTATCAGCTAAGGCGACGGAAGAGCACGATTCCGGGGATTCCTCCCCGGGAGTGGCCAGCGGGCAGCTGATGGCGCACCTGAGCTGCCTGGCTGCAAACACGGCTGCCGGCTTGCTGGCGGAGCACTGCGCGCACGTGAAATGAACATGCTCACATGAGCAATGGACGCGCTCTGTTCTCAGCGGTTGCCCACACCATAAAGACGTTCTTGCAAGCAAATACCAGCAAGAGTGTCGACTGGCTGCATGCGCGGATGCAAAGGGTACAGCACTGTCAGCCAGACGGACTCGTCTATCCGCACGTTTCCTTAGGATCAGCTTGAGCAGCCTGCATTTTTTGGGCCAGGCTACTTGGCTCAGTCGACTGAGCTGAAGCCGCCGTCCTTCTTCGGCTTTAAGAAGGCGATGTGCCGCTGCAAGGCTGGCACAGACGTCACCAAGCGCAGGTTGCAGAGGATGAGCGTCCTGCGCCACGGCATGGCGAGGCAGGGCCCAGGGGGAGGGGATGCTGCCGAAACGTGCACCGGGATGAAAATGGGATGAAGGAGACTCATAGGAGACCCTGTAAAGTGTAAAAACATGGCAAGACAGTCTCCAAGTTTCAAGAGAAGTAGCGGTGAGACGCAGGATTTGCACGCAGCTCTCTCTGCTGGAGCAGTCCTCCTTGAGGAGGTGACTGCCAATGGCACGGGCGTGGGCAACCTGAAAGTCACTCTGAGGCTGCTTCATGCACCTAGCGAACAGAAAGCAGCCGTGTGTGGCAGGTCTTTATCAGAGGAGCCTTTGGAGATACTACTTCGAAGAGGAACCATCTTTCAGCAGAAGACTTGGAATCACAGGCGAGGATCGCGAAGAACTGTTAACGAAACGGAGCTGATCGTGAGCTGACTTCCCAGGCAGGACTTGATCACCGGAGTCGACTATTTGGTAAAGCTGGTTCCTGGGAAGAGTGCTACAATCGAAGCGTGCCAGCCTCAGGGCTGGGTCCCCGTAACCCCGGTCCCCACACGCATGCACCCCACGCGCCCCATGCCAGGCTCGGGCTCTCGCTCTCAACATCGTGTGCAGCCCCTTGTGGTGACGAGATGAACCTCACGGCCTTTTACTTCGACAATGACAAGGTCTTGGCCGGCCAGGCGTTGATCTGGGACCACTTCCAGGCATTCAAGTGAGACAGCCCAGTTTCACGTTTCACCATGCTGAGCTTGAGCAGAAGGCCGCTGAGCGGCTGCATTGATCCCCCACCGTGAAAACAGCGCCAAGTAGCTGCACCTGCCGCTGCACGGCCAGTCCAGTTTGTTCGCCGCTAGGTGAGCATTAGACGCTAGCCGGCTTGCAGCACTTGCAGCTTGAGCTCAATCTAGGGGGTTGCCTAGTTTATGAATACAGACCAAGGCGCAAGGTGTGTCGAGGAGTGACACGATCTCTCGCCACTTTGCAGGTCATGGCCCGGTTTGCATTCTACGGCGCCAAGTGGTGGAATCACCAGGCAAGACGGAAAAGATTGCAAGATGGCAAGATGCGGTTGGCGTCACTGGCTTGCCCCGCAGGCCGGCTATGCTGCCCTGGCAGCTGGGACAGCCTGTGGCGTGGCCATTCGGCCCTCCAAGATGACAGCCGCAGACGGCGGGCTTCTCGTGCTTCTCGAAGAGCGTGTGTCCCTGTCACGATGTGAAGACGTATCACAAGACGTGTGACGACATGCGGCAAGCAAGACCTGAAATGCAGCAATGTGGCTTGCGCCCACTGCGGTGTCCCAAGGGAGGCCTTTTGATGAGAGGTCGGCAGCCAACCTGAGGCGCCAAACTACGCTTGCGCTTCGCAACATTTCGCAAGGGTGACCAAGACTGAGGCCGTACCATCTCTCTAGCTGGCAAGAAGAACGGATAGGAGTTCCGACCGCCAAGCTGCCAACCATGCAGATCAGCACTGAAGTGCCTCACGCAGGACTGGTGAAAGAACGGACGGTTCAGCACTTTCAGCTTTAAAGTGTAAGGGTTAGAGCGCCTTGACTAGGTCAACAAGTTCCTGAACCCCATTGCCATTGCCTGGCCTGATTTCAACTTCTTGAATCCTGTTGGAATCTTGGAACGCGCAAACCTCTTGGCTGTTGCATGCGCATATGCGAGGATGAGCTGGTCCAGGGCCACATTATTCTGAACGATTCCAAGCAGGCTGGACACCTCACCCACTTGGCATCACTTGGCCCAACGTCCCTTCCCAGGCCTCCAGGCCGAAAGAGCTGGCAAACGGCGCGCTGCCCGGATCCGTCGAATGCAATCGGATCGAATGATATGGACGCTGCAACGCTCTCGATCCGATTCCGCTCGCTTCCGGAAGGCTGCGTCAGGGCCAACGCCTGCAAAGAGATTTGGTGGAATCCCAGCGAGGCCACGCACTGCCAGCACTGCAAGGGCTGGGCCAAAGGCTGGGGCTTTCGGCTTGCGGATCGGCTTGCCAGGTGCGAGCAGCTATTGTCACCTGCGGTGGGCTGTGTTTCCACCTTAAGGGGTCTGTTTCTTGCTTCGGGGATTGCGTGAAGCAACCGTTTGCCGGGGGGTGAGGCCCCGGGCTGAATTCCATCATCCGAGAGATTACAAATTGCCTGTGGCACCTGGCTGAGTGAAACTAGAAGGCCTCGACGGCTTTTCGCGTCGAGCCTTGGCGGCCTTGGCGGCCTTGGCGTCGCTGAGGCACCAATACGGAGCCTGCACCCGAGCGTCGCGCCTGAGTGCTGAACAGTGTGACAGGTCTTGCTGACAAGGTGCGAACAGTTCTGGGGATGCAGGCTGGCTACAACGGGTGCCAGGCTCAGAGTCACAGCGTCGAACTTCGTTCGGAGCAAAGTTTGGATGAAGCTTGCAAAAGCAGAAGCTGCCATTTGCCGGCAAGATGCCGCAGTGGAAATGTGGTGCTTTGCATGCTCCGACGGCCGAGCGCACAGCGGCAGGAATGTGCGTGCTGTGGGAGATTCACACTTGGATCGGAAAGGTGAATGATGGTGAATGCTTGCGATTAGACACTTGCGCGCGCAAAGCTTGACCAGGGTGAAGTTGAAGTAGCGCTTCAGTCTGACTTTTTGAATTTGCTGGCTCTCGCATGGCATGGAGGTGCAAAGACCCCGACTCCTTCCCCCCAACCCAGCCGAGCTCTGAGTCAGCTGAGTCAGGCTGACTTGAGGTTTGTTCATGCCTCGAGCCACAGGTTGACGGTGGATAACGTGCGCGACATTCACATGAAGGGCGGAAGCATCCTCAAGGCCCTTGAGGGTCCACCCAAGCTTAAATTTCCTAAAGAGTGCACGTTGCAGAAACCTTTTGGACCAAGACCAAATTGCGGCCTGGGCAGCGTTTCATGTCAAAGCAACCTGTAAGTGCGCCAGTTTCTTGCTGTCCCAATGCTCCCTAAGTTTTTTTACCACACATCATTGCGGCCAAGCCTGGTTTTTTTGTTTGGTGTGTTTGTTTGATGTGAGACTCAGACATTGCCACAGTGCCCTGAGGCTGGCCGCGGCGGCATGGACGATCCCGAAAAGATCCTTGATCAGCCACCTGCTGAGAAAGATGCCTTTGGAGAGTCACCCCTGGCCACCTTGCAGCGCAGGCTGCAAAAGCAGGGGGTCAACATGCGTGTGTCTTATTACCTTGATCTTGCGCATGGCCGGCTTGCCTCTGCCTTGGATTAGTGACTCAGGCTGTTCACAGTTGGGGGGGATGGGACACAGGCACGGTGATTGTTTCTTGCGTGAGGGCCTAGCTCCGCTGGAGTGAGTGACAGGCTGCTGCAAATCTTCTCTTCCAAGCTGCCAAGAAGAGGAACATGCCAAAATCTCAAGCGGAGTTTTTGCCTGTTGTGGCGTAGTTGCGCTTCAGGCCTTTGTCCATCGTGGGCGTGCCCAAGTCCATCGACAATGATATCGTGTTCTTTGATAAGACCTTCGGACCGGCGCCTAAATCGGACTTTTCGTACATTCTCGGAGGCGAGTGTGAGCGCTCCAGGATTCGATTCCGCGGTCGCTGCTGCTTCAGAGGTTATCCGCGCACTCGCCCCGTTTGCAGACAGGCCAAGCCCATGCAAGCCCATGCAAGCCCATGCAAGCCCATGCAAGCCCATGGCCAGGAAACGGCTGGGTAGAGGCCACCAGCCGGCTTCCAGTTTCAACCAGTTCTTTTTTTTTCTGTCCGCTTGCGCTGAGGCTGCTCGAAGGGAGTGGGCATTGTGAAGTTGATGGGACCGCTTCGCTGAGTTGCTTGGTGCCCGATGTGCCACGGTCGGCCAGGACGAGATGCGGGCTTCGTCGCCATGCACGCGGCACTGGCATCAACGATTGTGGATTTGGTGATGATTCCAGAGGTGGGAAATGCAGAAAGCGGATGAAAGAAATTAGGATTGGGGAATGGGGGATGGCAGGTCGACGTTGAGCAATGCCCTCAGCCAGCTCACTTGGCCCTGTTCCGCGTTGTCCCACAAAGGCTCGAGGAGGTCATGGGCCACGTGGACCGCACGCTGGAACGAAAGGCCAGGTTTGCGTGCAAAAAAGTGGAGGTACCAAATTGGAGTCTGCGTGGCAATGAATGGCACATGTCGTGAACATGCTCAGAACCAATAGCTGGCGCCTATGTGCCAAAACAATTTCCCCCTTCCAGGTGGACAAGCTTGGGAACTGGCAACAAACCGTCCTTTTGCCTTCTTGGCCCCTTTTGGGCAATAGGACTTCAAATGGCAACAGCAGCTGTTTTATGTTTTGAGCCCACATGGGCCTTGATTAATCGAGGGGACTTGTTTGTTAATGGGCGGGGAGGGCTGGCCTGCTCCAAAAAATGTTCGCTTGCATAGCACATGTCTTGGGAAAAGTTGGGGGTCGGGTAAGATGGTGGCTTAGCATTGGTAGGTTTAAGCGCAGACTCAGCAAATACAAGGCGAAAGGAAAGCCCCTTCTCCGGCGCGTTTTTGGCTTGGGACTTGCAGTGGGGTTCGGGAGGCCCAGGATGAATGGCAGGGTCTTTGGGCAAATCTTGGTGGGCCTTTGTTTTATTACTTTAGGTTTTATGGGCCTCTCAAAAAGTGTACTCACATTAAGCTCCCATTCTTCAGGCCAACGGCATTCAAATTCCTCCTGTGTTTTCCCCGGTTGTGTTCTTGTTTTGGTGTATCTCAAGGTGCATGCCGCTGACGCGCTTCTGGGCATTGGTTGTGAGAGATTGTGCGGGGGGGTTCTCGCAGTAGGTTGCTAGATGTGGCGAGTTGCACAGATGCTTTTCTCTCGGTTGGCTGCTAGATGTTGTGAGCCTATTTCTGAATTGTTCCCGGGCATTGGCTGTCGGTGTCGTAAGTTTGTGCAGAAGCTGTTTTGGGGGTTGGTAGGCAGGAAGTACGAGTTTTCGCCAAGGTTTGCCTGAGCGGGTGGTTGTCAGTTTTGAGGGCAATTTCCGCATTTCTGACCGCCAGCCCGGCCATCATCGGCCACAGGACTTCATGGTCATTGCTGTCGCAGAAGGCGCAGGGCAGAAGTTTGTGGCGACCGGAAAGAAAGACTCGCTGGCGACTCACATTGTGTTTGATTGCGCTTGCCGAGCAAAAACGCCTAGGACTGGACACACGGTCTACGGCGACATCGGCACCTATCTGAAGGCAGAGGCTGTTCTCCGTGGGGGACATGGCAGAGCCCCTGCAGGATGCTGTCAACTCTCACCTCAAGAGCAAGGGTGGTCTCTGTCTTACGGCATGGGCACATGTGGGCACACATGTAGGCATACAGCTTCCCAGCGTCAGGCCGATCCTTCTACATTGACCCCTCGTACATTATTCGCTCAGTTGGGTGCCCAGATGAGGCGGAGCAGCGCAAAAGCTCAAAGCTCCAAGGTTACTATCCGGCCAAATGACCACATCTACTGCTCCAGGCAACGACAGCGACACGCACAAACATCTAGCATGCTCCAAAGCTTGGCAAAGCTTGTAGCAAACAGGTTGGCCAGGGATGCTGTTCACACTGCGATGAGGGGCTACACCGGGGTTTGTGTTGGGTTCTGGCCTCAGGTCAGGATGGTCAGGCATTCCACGGCGTTCCTGGCATGCGCGTTTTTCCTGTAAGTTTTCCTCGCAGGCCGATCCACAACATCATCGCCCAAATCTCAGAGTACTGAGGTCCTGCGGGCACAACATTTCAGATAGCGCACAAACAGTTGGGATAGTTCGGACTTGATTCCGGCATAGACAGTTGAAATGCATGGGGTTTGCGCCGCAGCCTTTCATGCAACTTCCTCTTCACAATGCGGTTTCCCAAGTTCGTTTCTTACTTGCCTTTAAGCAATACGCTTTTGGCAATCCTTTATGGCTTAAGGGAACATAAGCGTGCACATTGCATCCCACGTCGTGTGCCTGATGGCATAACTTGTATCTTCACTTGCAAGTTGTGACTTCAACTCATCAACTCAAACTCGACCGGACGGCTCAGACGGCTCAGACGGCTCAGGTGGTCATGCCTTCCAACCTCATTGCCAGCCGTGGGGGCGCCCAGCTAGCCGACTAGCATTGACTAGCCGCACTAGCCTTCGGGTCTCGATGTTCAGGCAACATGGGTGGGCCATGGCCGGTTTTCGCTTGGCTTTGTGATCAGGCAAGAAGCGAGTGGGCCTCCACAGCAGTTCCTGGCAATCCTGTGTGCAGTAGGGCCCCCAGCGACATGAGCTGTTTGCCTTGAGAGGCAAGGCGCGGATTTTCTCGTTCCAGGTCCTGCAACATGCCCAAGTCACTCTCTGGCTTGAATTGAGAGAGCCGGGAGGCTCCCTAGAGCCAAGTGTGGAGACTTTTAGAGGTGCACCGAGCTACCATCTCAAGCACCCTGATTCCTTAATTCGAGGATTGTTGCGGCCAGGGCCCATTGTCAATCGCAGCTAACAGTGCTCCAATGTCCTGCGTTGGCAAAGGCTGGGCAACAGCGCGGCTTGACGTATCTTCCTGGCTTACTATGGCGGTTCTCATGCTCAGTCATGGCTCTGGGATGCACACTGTGAAGCCGGATGGAAAATGGCGTGCCGTGTCCAGTGTGAGAAAACGAGAGGGGCCACGCTGCACATTGGTTGGAATGACCTTGTCAGACGTTGGGCAAATCATGAAAGGCTGCCAGAGACTTTTGTTCCCGCGTTGCCGCGCTCTGTTTTGCTACCTCGCACAGCATGTCGCTGAGCCACTGGAAACGGCCCCGTTCGCGAAGTCGGCAAGTCAGCAAGCCGGCAGCTTTCAGCGATCGCTTGCGTCCCATGTGCATGGGCCCTGGCCTGTGAGGGCGTGATAGCGGAGGCGTGGGCTTGGCGTGCCAAAGTTCATGGTGCAAGACTGCCCGACTGACTGAGACCCAGCCTGACCAGGGCCCAAGCTTTTCGCTCTTGAAGCGGGAGGCGCTGACTGCCAGTTTGAATTGGGACGTGTGTGTGTGTGTGTGTGTGTGTGTGTGTGTGTGTGTGTGTGTGTGTGTGTGTGTGTGTGTGTGTGTGTGTGTGTGTGTGTGTGTGTGTGTGTGTGTGTGTGTGTGTGTGTGTGTGTGTGTGTGTGTGTGTGTGTGTGTGTGTGTGTGTGTGTGTGTGTGTGTGTGTGTGTGTGTGTGTGTGTGTGTGTGTGTGTGTGTGTGTGTGTGTGTGTGTGTGTGTGTGTGTGTGTGTGTGTGTGTGTGTGTGCGTGCGTGCGTGTGTGTGTGTGTGCGTGTGTGTGTGTGTGCGTGTGTGCGTGTGTGCGTGTGTGCGTGTGTGCGTGTGTGCGTGTGTGCGTGTGTGCGTGTGTGCGTGTGTGCGTGTGTGCGTGTGTGCGTGTGTGCGTGTGTGCGTGTGTGCGTGTGTGCGTGTGTGCGTGTGTGCGTGTGTGCGTGTGTGCGTGTGTGCGTGTGTGCGTGTGTGCGTGTGTGCGTGTGTGCGTGTGTGCGTGTGTGCGTGTGTGCGTGTGTGCGTGTGTGTGTGTGCGTGTGTGCGTGTGTGCGTGTGTGCGTGTGTGCGTGTGTGCGTGTGTGCGTGTGTGCGTGTGTGCGTGTGTGCGTGTGTGCGTGTGTGCGTGTGCGCGTGTGCGCGTGTGCGTGTGTGCGTGTGCGTGTGCGTTTGCGTCTGTGTGTTTTGCAAGCACTTGGGGTGGGATTGAGTGGTGGAATTATCGGCTTCGATTTTTTTTGGTTTTGTTTTGGTGCTCGGCTTCGCCAGGTCGAAGAGGCCTTGGCCAAGCACCGGCTAGAGCTTTTCCGATGTCTCGATGCCGTGGAGGCGAATCCAATGTCGATGTCACCGGTCGCGTGGAAGGCGCTCGCTTTGTTCCGCGTCCCAGGTGCCGCTACCTGCCATGGTGCCCCAGGCTTTGACAATTTGAGCTAACGTGCGCTGCCGATGCCATGTCACGCAAGGCGCGTGGCACGCTGCTGTGCGCAACTTAGGGGGGCGGGAGCTGCCGCGGTTTGGTACGAGTATGTACGGGGGTCAAAGCCATGCAACACATTGAGCCATGCATTGCGTTTGCGCCTTGCTGTCAGGACTTGGTCGCCCAGCCCATCCAAACAGAGTCCAGACTTCAGCCATGCCGCCACAATGCCACTTGGCTGCAACGGCTACAGCAAACTCAAGTCACACGACTCACATACGCGGACCAAGAAGCGTGATGCCGCCATGCAGCCCTGCAAGACTGGAGTCCGTGGTTCAGATGAAGCTGGAGGACGTTTTTGCGCTTCGATAGACATTTTTTAAAATGCCCTGTAGGAACAGAAGTTGGAGAGGAGCCTCAATTCCAAAGAGCGAAGCCGCCAGCGCAGAAAGAAGGCATCCAACAACAGCAGCCTCCTCAGGTATTGCACTGCTCTCATTTTTGCGGAGGAATGTTTGAGCAGGCATGTTCATCTCCAACACCGAGAAGAGTCAAATCATGGCAGAAGCATCTGCTCTGGACCAACTTTCAATTGCACAGAGAGTGGGCGTGCTCCGTGCCTTGCGAGGAGCGATTTACTCGGAGCAAGTGCTTTGAGTGGCTTAGTGGACTTCTCATCCTGCCCTTCGGAGTCTGAATTCAGTTTCAGGAACATAGCCTAGCCACGCCTAGCCATTTGATGTCTTGCAAATGGATTCAAGTGAGGCTGAACTGCTTCTTCACGGGATGGCAGACCGAAGCAATGGCACAACGGGCATTGAGAAGCACTGAGATGAGCACCCGGCTGCGTTGGCACCGACGTTTTCAACATGTCGAAATTCGGGAAATTTTCAGAATAGAGCGCCTTGGACGGATTGCAGGAACCAGCCGGTGGAGAGCACAACTCCCCGCGCGCGGCGCTCGGTGGCACTCGGTGGCGCTCGGCACTCAGCATGTGCGCCAGTTTCGGCTGTTTCTTGAGGAGTTCATTGCAGGGCAGGCCTCGGGGGGCGGGACCTCCGATTGTTTTGCCCTCGTGTCGCGCGACGCGCGTCGTGCCGTGCTGCCGCCGCGTGCCCTGCAGGCCAGCTTCACCGTTTTGTTTGGTATTGAGATTGGCTTTCGCTGGGCGGCAGATGGCTTCCGGGACTTCTTTCGGACAAAGGCTGGGAAGAAGCCGAAGCAAGCAGGTCAAATGGTCAAAGTGCGAGGATTTGTGGTGGAATCTCCTGGACCTGCTGTGCGTCATCATCGGCGTAGCTGATGTGAGCACAGAGATGCTAATGATGACGGTTGGCATGGCTGCGTTCGCGCCATTGAATACCATCACCCTTATCAGAGTCCTTCGCGTCGTGCGCGTGATCCGAGTGGTTCGTGTGCCCAGATTGCACGATGTTTTGAGGTATCCAAATGAGTGCCTTCCCCGTGAGGTAATCCGCATCATGAGGTTCTTCAGGACGGGCTGGGGCTGTAGCGCGCTTTTTGCATTTGATGAATTTACCTTTGACGCCAGGGAGCTTCGGATGATGGTGTTCTCCATCGTGAACTGCCTGAAGTCTGTCGTGTGGATTATGCTGATCCTCTTCATTCTTTTCTACATGTTCGGGATCATTTTTACATCAGGGGTGGTTGGCTTCCTTGACACCTTGGAGAAGAGACGCCGGCCTGAGAACGCTGACCTGCAACGGAACTTTGGGTCTTTGGGCAGGGCGGTCTTGTCCCTTTACATGGCCATGAGTGGTGGTGCAGACTGGGGGGAGCCAGAATCTCAGTGACTCATATGCCCGGCATATTCAACGGCGTTCACCTCATCAAGCACAGGTGGGGTTGCACGATAGCCTCCCCAATTGCAGTTTAGTCAGGGTTGGAGTTTTGGTTGTGAGGTGTCACAAAATCCCGTAGACGAAAAGGATAGAACTGGACTTGCGAATTTGCAGCAAGAGCTGCAGAAGTGTACTTCGTGTACTACACTGTTTGCAAAAGTTGCGATTTCGAGTTGGAGCTGCGGAAGTGTACTTTGTCATTTGTACTGGAAAATTAAGGTCGTCGAGCTGGAGCTGCGGAAGTGCACTTCGCATACGGCACTTATACTGAAAACGCTGAAAAGCTGCGATTCTTGAGGTTGAGGCGCAAATCGAGGAAGACAATGTAAAGCGAGAAGGGGAGAAGTAAACCAGAACATCAGAAAGATAGTAGGGATAGAATTTGGTTCTTGCGCATGGCCAGTTTACCCCCTTGTGTTCAGAATCTGAATGGCTAAGGTTCTACAACAATCTTGCCACTTTGGAAGGCGAGTGGCACTTCCCGCTGCTCTTCATTCTGTATATAACTTTTGCAATTTTTGCGGTCGTGAACATTGCCAGCGCCTCAGGCGGTCAGCAGAGGTGTCAGCATGCAACTGTTGCTAGAGGTGAGGCGCCAGTGCAAGCCTGTCCGAGGTCACTGGAGTTTTTGCCGACCCCTCAGCGTAGAAACGAGAGAGAGTGGCTGCCAACATAAGAGTTGGTGAAGTAGCGGTCATTGATATTTCCGAGTGACTGCGCCGCCAGGTCGATACCGCCTTGCAGCCTTCGCCTTTGCCACAGGTTAGCCCAGCAAGAGGGTGTCTCCGCCAGGTCTGGGCGAGCAGATCGGGATGTCGTAGTTCAAGAGGAGATCGAGAACAAAAAGGAATATTTGGAATCCTTGAAGGCTTGCGAGCCAGCCGGCAATTCATGGCTTTCTCTTGGTGTGATTCCTTGACATGTCGCCGTGACACTACCACGTGTTTTGCGTCTGTGTTCGTGCGCGTTGGGTCTTTTACCAGTCTCTTACCCTTGCCAGACTCGTCTCCTGCTACTCATTTCCTGCTGCTGCTGCTGCTGCTGCTGCTGCTGCACGCTTCTTGCCGTGGACGTGGAACACGCCTTGCCACTGTGTCGACGTGAGCATATCTGCGAGAATTTGGATCCACTTGTCAGTTTTCAGAACATGTGCCTGGGTAGGCCCTCTTTGAAGCCATTGCCCGAAGCTGAGAAATTCGCGGAGAGTCACTGAGTTTGATTGAGTTTTTTCTTCTCTCTTTGTTTTGGGGGGGGCTCCAGACACAGGATGCAAACTCCCGTGGCGTCATCTCCCGGGAGATGCTGGAGCAATCCTTTGAGAATGAAACCATCATGGCCTTTTTCAACTCGCTGCAGCTTGGCTGAGTGGGATGCCAGGCCCCCAACAAGGATGGTTTTTTTGAGTTGAAGTGAGTTGCTGCAAGGAAGATCAGCGTCCCTGATGCAGCGACGCTTTTTGATCTTCTCGACTTCGACGCCTCGGCCCCTTAGCTTATGAGGTCGATTTCGTTTTTTTTTTGCATAGGTTTTGTTTGGCTGGTTTCCTTCAGATTCCGTTCCAGGGGGAGCTTGATATCGAGGAGTTCCTCCTGGGATGCTACCAGTGAGTGCCCTGGCTGACCACAGATCCCCAAGCCTCGTGCCGAAGCCGAGGCTGCAGGGAGATGCCACAGGCCGCAATGTGTGATTCAAAGCTTGAAGCGCCTCGGCGCTTTGGCGCCTGAGGAGTCGACGCGAAAATCATGCAGGTGGGGCGTGCTGTCGGGTCAAAGCCGCTCTTGCAAAGCCTTTTTGGCGCTGGGGCGCTGAGGCCGAGGTTCGCTTTGTGAAAGAGGCCATTCTGGGGCTGAAGGATCGGCCAGATTGCGGCTGCTCAGACGCACTTTTCCCTTCTTGCTAGGATGACATGGAGAAGATTACAGGTGAGCTACTCGAGCTAAGAGATCTAGCCACCAATCACCTGCAGTGATTCACTTGAGTCGTTTGCATTATTGATGAATTGATGCATGCTGGATGCATAATCTTGCGGATGAGCTGTGCTAAAATGCTTCCTTGGATGTCTGCTTTCAAGCCTGCATGGAATCGATCTTGGTGCAACTTTGGCGCAGCAATCATCTGCCGTCATCCGCCGTGATGCAGGACGATACGTCCGCTTGCATGAGTTTTGTGCGGCTGTGCTCCGCGAATGGGCCCTAGTCAAGCCCTAGGGACCAGGTGATGACATGTCGTCATTTGGCTGCGCTGCCAAACCGTCAGCGTTCAGTATGAGGAAGTTCTGTCTATGTGGAAGGACAAAAGTGGTCCGCAACGGCGCTCCAAAGTTTTGGCTACACCTTCAAGAAAAACGTAGGGGTGAAATCAGGGGTGCAGTTTAAGAAAGCAATCCACGTGCTGTTGTTCTACTGCTGTTCCACAAGGCCGGGAGTTCCGGTGTCAGTTTATGTGCATATATGTTTAAACTGATACGAATACAGATCCAAAGGGACCAGGGTCCCGTGCAGAGTCCAATCGATGCTGCTGTCTTGGCTCAACTAAGCCCGCCTGTCCGCCTGCAGACTATTTAATCATGGCAGCGGAGCCCTTGGTTTGAGGGTCTGCAATGGGCCAGACTTGCTCCTGGAGGTTCGTTCCACGGTCAATTGGGGAACGTTGGTCGGAAGCTCCTGGAGCTGAGAAAGCATCAGAGTCTGTTCCATCAGCTGGGACTGCTTTTGCAGGGCTTTGCGAGGCCGCTGTTGGATAGGCTGACCAGAGTGCACCTGAACGCAGGGCGAGAAAGAGGTTGAAGGGGAACATGGCGGCGGCAGAGCAGCTTACGGCATTGATGCAGGAAGTGCCGCTAAAACTGAAAACTAGCGAGAAGCGAATCTCACCAACCAGGCAAGTCAGCTTGCATCAAGCGGTTGAGCTAATTTAGGCGCGGCACAGAGAGCTGGCGCAGGCCTTGGGTTCGCGACCAGAGTTTGATCCCTCAATCCGTTTCTAGGAGAGGCGAAAGGAGCCCCTGGGCAATCGCCAACGCATCCCGAAGACATCAAGACCAATACCCTTGAGCGCACGGACCCGCAAAGGCGCCTGGTCTTAAACAAAGGTAGGTAGCCCAATTTCAGTTCCATCTGCGGAAAACCCGGACATCTGCAAGCAGACTGACTGGAAACAAGAATCAAGAAACCCAGCGGCAAGGGGAAGAACGCCTCAGATGGCAAAGGTTCCGGCCACGGCAAGGGCAAGGGGACCGGCTTGAAGCCCAAAGGCAAGGGCAAAGGCCGAAGCCCAAAGGCAAGTCCAAGGGAAAGCAATCCGGAGGCAAAGGCCTCTCCAACATGGAGCAATAGCAAGACTAAGAGCCCAAGCAAGAGCATTGGGAAGGTGCTGATTGAAACGAGGACTCTCTTGGCGTCCGTCTCCCCTCAATTATTTGCCGTAAGGCGGAATTCGTTCTAAACTTCCTACAAACTCAAACAAGTCACAGCAGGCAAAGAATGACGCGTCTGCTATGTCTACTTGTAGCGCGAGTCAACGGCGCCATCTTCTGGCACTCAGCGGGCAAGTCTACATTGTAGGGGGGTCACCGGATGCTCCTTACGAAGCTTCCCGCTTGCGTCCGGCACAGCCTCCGAAGCCAAAAGCCGAAAAGTCAACCGGTAAAAGGCCCCTCGACACCACGAGAGTCCGTCAACGAAGCTGCAATTCAATCGGGCCACGGCAGGCAATCCCGGCAAAGCGCCAAAAGAAGCATCTTGATGTCTACATTGTAGGTTACTCGCGGATGGTGGTGCGGATGGTGCGGATGGTGTGGATGGCGCGGACGGTGTGGGTGGATAGTGCGCATGGTGCGGATGGGGCGGATGGGGCGGATGGTGTGGCTGGCGCGGATGGCGCGGATGGTGCGGATGGTGTGGCTGGCGCGGATGGTGCGGATAGCGCGGATGGTGCGGACGGCGCGGATGGTGCCGATGGTGTGGATGGTGCGGCAGACGCGAATCCCGATCGCAATGCATATGAACCAGACGCACGACGCACAGAGACGATCCTGACGCCAAGCGACAAGGCGAGTGCCATGCCTGCAACGCCAACAGTACCACAAGACCGAGTATCTTTGATAATGCCATCAGCCGTCTTAGCGCAGGATACACCGGATCTGTCAGAGTGTCTTCCGGGACCTTGAAGCTGCTGTTCAGAAGTTTCGACCCCACAAATATGCCATAGTGAAGGCCGCAGCGACTGGGTTTGCAATCCAGGTGTTACTGTCCGGCTGGGGCATCATAAGCCCAAAGCTGATAAGTGCTCAGCCAGCAAGGCTTGGTAAATCCCGGCACGTACAAAACCGGCATCTTTTGGATTCAAGAACGCTTAGCCAAGGGCGAGCTCGAGTTAGAGAAAGTTTTCTACAGACAAGAACGTAGCGGATATTTGCACAAGGTGTCTGGCAACATTCCATGCAGAAACACCTACGTGCAATGAGCTACGAAATAGCAGTAGGACGCTCAGACAAAGCCAAAGCGCTAGCTCGGCGTAGTGTTTGGAGACACGCCTCTGTGCAGGAGGGGTGGTCTGAAGACAGATCCATCCAAAGGGACCATGGGTCATGAACAGAGTCCTCCAATCGACGCCACCGGTTTGGCTCGAGGAGCATAGCCCGCTTGCGACGTTTATTCATTAAACCCATGTTTGAGTTCACCCCGTGTAGGTTTACCTGTGTGGACACCAGAAACAGCAAAACGCAGCACATTTTTTGAGGTTCCCCCCTCCCCCCGAACAAATATCTGGCCACCCCGAGCTGCTTGCGCAGATGCCAGGTTCTTTCAAGCCTCGCGCGCTGGATTTCGGAGCTCAAGCCAGATAGGCCAGCACGCGCATTAGGCCGTGCAAGCTGCAAATGATTTAGATCTACTACTCGCGCTGTGAGGCTGCAAGCGAATACTGTTTGCAACCGAGCCACGTGCTAGCAGGGCAGAACAAGGCGCAGGGCCATGGCTAGGGCGGCTAGGGCTGCTGGGGTCGTGCGGCGCATTTGCTTTCTGGGCCTTATTACTCTTGGTGTAGCCTGGGTGGCGCCCTCTGAGTCACGCCGGCGGAGCCGAGTGCAAGCCAGGAGCTGGTCGGCTGGACCCTTGGGTCCTGTAGAAAGTGCGGACGCCTTCCGCATCTACTATCTACCTTTCGTGGAACCCTTAGACATCGACTCCACGCTGCTGGACCAGCTGCTGGGGGGTTGGCTTGGGCCACTGACGCCGCTGCTGCTGGGCTTGTTCGTTTTTTGGGTGCAGGGCCAGATCAATGCAGTGCGGCGCGAGCAGGAAGGCCGTGCCATTGGAAGTGCTGCTGCAGCGATCGGGGGCGCTGCTGCCAACACAGCCACGAGCGCAGCCCAAAGCTTGACCCAGAAGCTGGCGAGCGTGCCGCTGCAGCAATGGGTGAAGCTCCTGCTGTGCATCGCGCTGGATGTCGCAGGCAGGGCGTGTTCAATGATCTGCTGAGATTCTTGCAGTCATGACTCTTTTTTAGCCCAGGCGAGGTTCAGGAAAGGCGCATAGAGACCGGCACTGGCCGCAACATGTGCAACGTTGGCTGCCCTGAACTCCCGCAGCCTTGTTGCACCGGCACACCAGCACAAACAGTGAAGCGCAACGGACGGGGACGCCACCAGCAAACTATTTGTCACACCATCGCGACACCACCAGGACGCTACCAACACCACGGAAGCTCGGGCATTCATATCATTGTTTCCTGGCTCGGGCATCCGTGCAGAAAGTGTCATTGTTTCCTGGCTCGGGCATCCGTGCAGAAAGTGTCATTGTTTCCTGGCTCGGGCATCCGTGCAGAAAGTGTCATTGTTTCCTGGCTCGGGCATCCGTGCAGAAAGTTCATTGTTTCCTGCTCCGGGCAGCCGTGCAGAAAGTTCATTGTTTCCTGGCTCGGGCAATCGTGCAGAAAGTGTCATTGTTTCCTGGCTCGGGCATCCGTGCAGAAAGTGTCATTGTTTCCTGGCTCGGGCATCCGTGCAGAAAGTGTCATTGTTTCCTGGCTCGGGCATC